TTCCCGGTGGATCAGAGGGGTTCCCGGTGGATCAGGGGGCTCCCGGTGGATCAGGGGGCTCCCGGTGGATCAGGGAGTTCCCGGTGGATCAGGGGGAGTTCCCGGTGGATCAGAGGGGGTTCCCGGTGGATCAGGGGGTTCCCGGTGGATCAGGGGGTTCCCGGTGGATCGGGGGATGCCGATGGTCTCCCAACTCCTCCCCCGTGCCCCCCTCGCAGTCTCTGGACAGTCTGGGCACGTCCGAAGGCACCCGCTCCAAAAGACACTCGACCTCCGAGCTCTCGGACGTGCCGTTCAGCGCCGTGAGGAAGGAGGGCTGGCTCCACTGCAAGCAGATCCTCACCAAAAAGGGGAAGGTAGGCGCGGTCCTCCCCYCCAGCCGRGCCCSGAGCGCGGCSGGGCCGCTCCCTGAGGCCGCCGCTCCATCCCTTGTCCCCGCAGAAGGTCGGCGGAGGCATCCGGCAGTGGAAGCGCGTGTTCGCCGTGCTGCGCAGCCACTCGCTGTACCTGTGCAAGGACAGGCGGGAGGCGGTGACCGGCGCCCCGGCCCCAGGTGAGGAGGAGCCGCCGATCAGCATCCAAGCGTGCCTGGTGGACATCTCCTACAGCGAGACCAAGAGGAAGCACGTCTTCCGCCTGACGACCGCTGACTTCTGTGAATATCTCTTTCAGGCAGAGGATCGGGAAGACATGCTGGCCTGGATCAAAGTCATCAGGGAGAACAGCAAGGCTGAGGGCGAGGTGAGAGCCACATGGGGCTCCCGGCTGCCTCTGGCTCTCCCGGCACTAACGCCTCGGCTCTCTCCGCCTCTTTGCCTTGTGCTGCTTCCCCAGGCCACGGCCAGGCCCGCCCTGCGCTCCCCGGGCGGAGCGTGGGGATCGCGGCGGCCAAGAAGAGCGCGGCCCCCCCGGCCGGGCAGGGTGCGCGGGGCGCTCGGAGCAGGGAGCGCGGCTCTCGGTGCGGGGCCGGAGCGGAGCTCGATCCGCCGTGTCCATGTTCGGTTGTGCGGGGGCGCAGGAGCCTCTGTGGCTCTGCCGAGGTCTGGTGTGGCTCTGGTGAGGCGCGACGTGGCTGTGCCATGGTGTGACACGGCTGTGACATGGTTTGATGTGTTCCTGCCATGGTGTGACACGGCTGTGCCATGATGTGACACGGCTGTGATATGGTTTGACGTGGCTGTGCCATGATGTGACACGGCTGTGACATGGTTTGATATGTCCCTGCCATGGTGTGACACGGCTGTGTCATGGTTTGACGTGTTCCTGCCATGGTGTGACGTGGCTCTGGTCAGGTGTGACGCTGCTGTGCCATGGTGTGATGAGGCTCTCCCGTGGTTTGATGTGTTCCTGCCATGGTTTGACGCGGCTCTGCTGTGGTTTGATGCGTCTCTGTCATGTACTGATGTAGCTCTGCCGTGGTTTGATGTGTCCCTGCCATGGTCTGATGTGTCCCCGCCATGGTGTGACATGTCCCTGCCATGGTCTGATGTGGCTCCGGTTGTGGCACGGACAGAGCTCTGGGCACGGTGCCCTCGCGGTGCTGCCGGGGCTGAGCCCTCGCTGGGCTGTGCAGGGTCACTCTGCTCTGAGATGGACACAGCTG